AAATGCTGATTTCAATGAAAAACTACTCAACAGGATTTTAAAAACTCATCTGTGGCTGCAGTATAGTCTGTGATCTATCTAGTTTGCAACCTCTGGTTTTTAAGAGAGCTGAAAGCAGAATCATTCCTTGATTCTGTCATGTACTAACATTTGCCCCCTAGCCCCAATCTCCTAAATAACAGCAAACACTTAATAATGGTTTTGAAAGGACAGCTGTGCTTAGGATCCCTGATCTTACTGAGGGTTTTTTTTTTTTTTTTTTTTTTTTTTTTTTTTTTTTTTTTTTTTTTTTCTGAATAGTGTAGTTGCATGGAGGTGTCCAATGTGGAAAAAGAACATAGGATCAGGGGTCTGCAGACCCAGATTGTCGACCCTTTGCTGCCACTAACTTGCTGTTTTCCCTCGGCAAATGTCCTAGCCAGAGCTTGGACAAGGGTAAGGGAAGCGGGGTTCCCGGGCCAAACGTTATGTGGCCTGGTCCTCGCTCTCACCTGCTCTCAATCTTTCTGTGCCATATCTCAAAATAAAAGGTCATTCTGGAGACAACTAAGATCCTTCCCGGCCCCGCCTACAATAATTTCGCTGAATTTCAAAAACTGGCAAGTGACATAAGTGGAGCGAGCCCTTCCAAACAGCACACATTAGTTATCTGCAGATGTGCTGGACCTGCATACAATTTAGCTGGTACCAGGGGTTTATCAAGGGCAGGCTACTCACTGGTATGTATGAGCATTTTCGGGCTGTGCTCCTGACATCTTTGGTTTGGCATTTTTTGGCAGCACATCTACTAAACTTCTGATTTGCTGCATAAAGTCGGGAGACAATGTCTGAAAATCTTTTTTCCTCTCCCACAGTACTATTGAAAAAAGTTAATTACTTTATTAAGTAGGTTTTTTCATTTTGTTTCATTTTTCCATATGCTTAATTTTTTTTTTTTTCATTAAACAGATTTCTGACCCAGGATGGCATGTTGGGCAGGGAGGTGACTGGTATTACTGGCGAAATGCCTGGCTGTCCTCAACCTGACAGTCAAGGAAACCCATGGCTCAGGGTACCACAACAAATGATTCCTGACCACACAGAGTCAGAAATGCAGTCTTGGCATATTCGAAGGCAGTGTAAACACAACCAGAAGGAAACGGACTAAGTGAATCGCCAAATGTATAGAACAGGTGGAAATGAAAGGCCAGTGATTTGGGTAACAGAAGGTGTCTGAGTCGTAGAAACTCTCAGTTAAGGACCTTAAGGCCATACAGAAAGCTGGGGCTATATCGTGGGAAGGTCTGAAGAATGGAGCCAACAAACCACTGAGTGTCAAAGTCAAATGGTGATGTCCAGAAGTGAGAATAAATCACACCTGGGACCAGAATGTGAGTCGGTGAGAAAGTGGGATTATTTTCTTTCCCTGGCAAGTCTGATTTACCTTCAACTTTGTGGGGACCCATTCACTGGGTAAAAAAAAAAAAAAGACAATTTCACAAGCATGTGGGAGGCTCCAAACTCTCTGATAGCTTGCCTAGCCTGGCTCTGGGGTCCGGTTCACATCACTGTGTGTCACATGTTGGCCATGCTTCAGGGAGCCAACACCACGAGGGCCTTGGCCACACAGATCAGTAAAGCAGCTTGGTAGAATGGTTAATCACACAGGCTCTGCTGCTTACTAGTTAAGCAGTTACTTGACTTCTATGAGATGGGTCCTTTGCAGAAGGAGGGAGATGACAATGGCAGCTTCATGGAGGGTTGTGAGGATGCAGAGAGGCAAGGTGTGTAAAAGCACGGTTGGGCACGGATAACCGCACAACAAATGCTACAAAGGCAGTATCATGTGCACCATGATTCTTCTTTGGTGGCACTGGAGGCTTGAGAAATTTCACTCACGCTGTGTTTTTTTGTTTGTTTGTTTGTTTTTCCTTTGCCCCTTTTCTGGTTACCTGTAAAGGGGAGAAGGGTGGTGGCTCTTTTCCTTTGTTCACCATATTCTCTGCTAGACCTTCCTCAGGGGTATGAGCCAAAAATGAGGATCAAGAGAGCAGGTGTCACAGTCTTTTCCAGCCTTGTGCCCATTCCTCTCTTCTTACTGCCAGTGTTTCTCCCAGGCTCACCTCCTAAGTTCCCATTCAGTGTATCCTGTGAGACCAACCCCAGCCTGGATGGGAAGAAGTTTTACAGCATTTTCATCCACAGAAAGGATGAAATAATAGGGGGATCCCTTGTGAAATATTTCCACTAGTTGACATCCACAAACTTTCCTTAAGTTAATTTTGAGAGAGCTTTCCATGGAATAATCATGGGCTTTCCTTGTTTTTGCCTAATGTCAGAGAGAAAATACACCTGAAGTTACTCTATTTTGTCTTCTTAATCTGCAGACTTTTAAAGCTTTTGATACTTAAAGATGAGTTTTCTGGGGATAAGGTGTTTTGAACCTCTCTCTCTCAAAAACTTATTAAGTTAATATATGATGCCTTCACTTAGTTCCTATTTATTATTTCATTGTCAAGGTTCTTTATGATGGCTAAGTTGTGATTATGGAGAAGTATTATAAAATGTCAATGTGCAAATGAGATTTGGAAGGTCTGGGGGTGGGGAGAGGAGATTCTTTAAATGGAGATGTCGGCTCCAGCCAATTTCAGAATGGCTCACCATTAAGATAGATGGTTCCAAAGCCGTGTGCCTTTGCTGGAAATTAAAAACCCATGGAATAAATGATTATGATTAATTTTAAGTACTTAGCCATGTGAAGCCAAATCAGAGCGTCTTTAAAACAAAGCTATTGATCTGGCTTTGTTTGGAATTGAGGAGATAAACTAATCAGGTCCTGTGGGTTCTTTGCAATAATAGAGAAGGAGAACTACTCCCCACCCCCCCCCCCCAGAGGCTTTTAAGCTTCAAGTTTGAGAAACCTGGTGTACCAACATGCTATAATATACCAATGTTTTAAAAATAGCAAAGCACTGGCATAGAGAGGAGCAGTTCAGTTCTGTCCCAGACGGGGTTTGATGGGGGTGCGGGCATGATGGAGAGTTAGGGGAGTGGATGGGACGGCATTCAGAAAGCCACTTCTATGTGTACAAAAGCTGACTCTTTTTAAAGTTGAGGAAACAGACTCAGAGTAGTTGAGCCATTTGGCCTGAGTCCCACTGCACCCAGGACCCCATACCCACAGTATCTGACTGTCCAGCCCTATCCTCTGCCCCAGACAGGTCTCCCATTGAGACGAGGCATCACCACTCCCAGTGCAGAGAACTACATGCAGGCTGTCAGGTCATCACAGCTGTTTCATGGCAGCTGGTGATTTCCATTTCCTGGTCTCTTCCCAAGGAATTTTCTCATCCTTCCCAAGAAAAGGGTGAAATTCTCCTAGCAGCCCTTTCCCGAAATGCTTTTTTTGCAGGCTGGGAAACCTGCGCCTACCCTTCTCAGCCTCAGCCTCTTGATAAGAGAAGTCCTAAGTCACTAAATTGGGCTGGCACCCTCTCCCTAGCAGACCTGCATTTGTCGCCGGTTCCGGGGTCAGAGTTTGGGTGAGAAGCCATCATCCGTCTTAGGACTGACAACCTGACCTCCCTGGCTGTGGGTCCTGCCGTTTCTGTCCCAGGAATTCGCGGCTTTCGTCAGATTTCCGGCACCTTGCAGCATCAGCATCCCCTTTGATTTCCCGTGATTCCTCTTGGAATCACCTTCCTCTCACACAACGTGGAGAGGCTTTCTCCAACCCGTGCCTACTGTCTGCAGGGGCCAGGTGGAAAGGAAGGTAGGAGGAGGACCTTCCTTCACGTATAAAGGGATGTTTTTACATATTCACTCATTCATTTGTTCGACATTTATTCATTCTTCTGGAAGTCAGAGATCTGTAACCTGGCGACTATGTAATTTTTGATTTTCATGGGAATGCTCAACAAATCCTACCCTATCATTCACTGGACAGAACTGTACCATCAGAATTATTTTTAGAACCAAGCAGTGACAGAGCTTGGAAAAGGGAAGTCGCCTGCAAGATATAGCAACAAACCCTCTATTTTCCAAACGGGAAAACTGAGATCCCAAGTGCAGAAGGGACTTGCCCAAGGTCACACAGCTAATTAGGGGCTGAGTTGGGACTGAACCACACATCTCTTGACACAAGTTCTACTAGGCTTTACTGCCTTCCTTTCCGGGCTTTTCCAAATCAGGGACAGCTAGAAGTGTCACTCTGGGGACAACAATCAAAATGTTTTCTTACACATTCAACTTTAGTTTGAATGACCCCAAGATGATTCCTAGCTGAGTTCCACCCTCCCCCCCCCATCCCCACTGACTCCCCAGAAATCAGGTTGGACCCATTTGAAAATCTGGGCACACAAAGGCACCTACAAATTTTTTTTTTTCTAGACAAGCTATATAGGGTGGGATTCCACCTCTTCTCATCTTGCTCCCACCCTGCCACTTTAAGGTTACTGCTTAAAGTTTGGATTTAAACCCGAGATGAGATCCCAGGAGCAATGGCAATGACCAGATTTCACCAGGCTGTTTGGCATTCCCCCCTGCCCCCTGCCCCCAGCCCTGTGCCAAGGTCCCTTTGTGATTCTGGGTGATTCCTACTGACCCCTTGGTCTTACCCCTCTCTCATCTCCCAGACCTGTAACCTGTCTCTTCCCATGCCCACACTCAAACACACTCTCCCTGAATGCTCTGGCAGGCGCTGGGGGGCTATTCCAGCCCATCTGTTCCACCCAGCAACAAATACCGCGGGAGCACCGGGGGAGAAAGGACTCAATTGAGACTTAATTAGCAGGAACCCCAGTTTGTGGGAGGTGAGAAATCACACTTTGCTGCCTGCGAACACTTTGGCCAAGGTGAGCCAGAGGGATCTCCCGGTTCCCAATTTTAATAGCACTGCAGCAGAAGACACAGAAAGGCATCCACACGGACCCCCCTGCACACACACTCCCCCTCTTTCCTCCTCACACGGACAACACACACACGCACACGCACACAAGGCAGCGGTCGCAAAATCAACTCACAGGATCTCCAAATCGCGCAGCGCTCGGAAGGCTCCATCTTCAATGCAGCTGATGTGGTTGTTGTCCAGTTGCCTGTGGAAAAGCAAGGGGAGGGCATGAAGGCTGAGTGGGGGCAGCGCCGAGGAGCCGGGCGGCCCGGGCTGGGCGTCCCCGGCCACCCTAGCGCCTGTCCCTCCACCCCTGGCAGGCTCTGCTCGTCCCCGCCAGGAGCTCGCGCAGAGCCAGCTTGTCTGCCACGCTGCTCCGTCTCTGCTCTCTGACTGTCTGAGAGAACTACACAGACGAGCGCACCAAAGGCTGTCAGGTCTCAGTAAATATTAATTGCGCTTTTTTTTTTTTTTTTTTTTTTTTTTTTTTTTTTTTTTTTTTTTTTTTTTTTTTTTTTTTTTTTAGGCAGAAGGGAGTAATTTCATTACATTAGGGCATCCAATCCATTACGAGCTCTTACCGTCATGTCACTGAAACAATTTCATTAAGCTAAAGGCCTGTAAATCATTGGAGGTCACTGCTCTGCCCTCCGCGACCTCCCAGAATGCTTTTTTCCCTCTCTCCCTCTCCCTCGTCTCCCTTTACTGGAAGTTGCAGTCTTCTGCTCTGACACAGTGCTAAATCTCAAGGCTTTATCTGCCCAAGAGCAGCGAGGGTGCATGGGGAATATACCAATTCCAAATTAGACTCAACTAATCTAATTTTATAGTCTTTTTATTATTCTAAGCACCAAATGTCTGTGGTGGTTTGATGCCTCCGTGCTTTGTTATGGGGCCCATCTGGTAGGTCATTCTATTGAAGCATTTTCTGACTAAATACAGATTCCCTCAAACTGCACCAACCACCATCAACATTAAAGAAATCCATTGATGGAAGCATTCCTGATGGGGGAAAAAAAGGAATATTGTTATTGCCTTAAAGATGTACCACTTAAATTTAAATTGGGGAGAATTAAATGCACCTATTTCAGGATTCCTTTTTTTAAATTTTCCTTTCCATCTTATGAGCATGAAAATAATGTCTTTTAAAAGGATGTCTTGACTAATATACATTCTAGTTGGCAATTGAGGTATTTTAGTTGAAGGATAACAAATATACACCATTATCTCTAAATCAAAATAGATCTGATGTGTAAGTCAAGACCACATTCCAACTCAAATATCATGTTATATATCAGTAATTTGTTTGCTAAAAGACAGGATATAGAAAATGTGTATTAGCACCAGATTGTCTATTGCATTTTGTGTACAGAACATACCATGGTCTTTGGGGGGAATGGCCTAAAGAAGTATGGCTGTACTGAGAAAACTCCCTTATAGACTTTTTTTTTTTGTCTTAGAAAAAATCAGCCCCTCTCAGGTGGAGGGATTGCCTGATGTTGGCATTTTCACTTATGACTTGTACTCATTTATCCCAACAACTCCGTGCAAAACATGTATCAATGATAACACTCGGTAACCCTCACAGAGGGTTTTATATTCTGCAGCAGGAAGGAGGATTTAAAATACTTTTCTCATCGAGAAACCAGATAGATACAGGATTCTGTACGTGCACGTGGATGAAACACATACAATTAGACTGATGTCGTGTGTCACAACAGATGGGCTCTGTCACGATATTACAGGGAATGGAATCATCCCAATAAATGCTCACAATATGAGACTTAGACATTTAGGCCTTAAAAATAAACAGGAAATGGGTATCTCATGAAGCAGAAGCACTCTTTAGGTCGGCAACTTCTACATCGAGTGTTCAGAGTTCTCGCTGATGCCCACTCATGTGAAATCTCAGTGTTCTTGCTACCCGGAATTCTTCTGGAGTTTTTCTTCACATGAGTTTGCTGGATATCCTTTCCAAAGATTTCCCGTAAGTACTGAGGCTGCTGATTCCCTGAAAAGGTTCTATTAAGGCAGCCTAGTACTGCTGCCCAGTTTCTAGATTTATCATCAGTTTAAGGGCCGATGAATCAACAACCCCCGCCCCATACCAAGGCCACCAAACCTTACCAAGCAGAAATACAGTGGAGTTGGCTTTTGGCTCCAAGAAATTGTTCAATAAATATGCTGAATTCGGCAAAAATGGCTGCATCCTCCTAAATAGAAAAGTTTCTAAATCATCACATTGAGAAGTCTAGGAGAGTGTCATAGAGATGGCAGTTTGTCGTGCATCTATCTGCTTTGGGGCAGACATTTCAGAGAGAGGTCCTTGCTTTTAGAATGTTATTTATTTGCTGGATCTGTCAGGTGTGTTCTATTCCTTTTCTTTTTGAGCACCAGAAACCAAACAGGATGCTCTAAGTATACGGAATGTTATATGGAAAGAATGCAATCTGCAGGGGAGAAGAGAAACTCCTAGAAAAAAAAAAAAAAAAAGGAGGGGCACCTGGGCTGCTCAGTCAGTTAAGTGCCTAGCTCTTGGTTTTGTCTCAGGTCATGATCTCATGGTTCTGAGTTTGAGCCCTGAGTCAGGCTCAGAGCTGGTGGGGAGCCTGCTTGGGATTCTCTCTATCTCCCTCTCTCTCTGGCCCTCCCTGCTCTCTCTCTCAAATAAGTAAAAAACTTCAAAAAAAAAAAAAAAAAAGAAAGAAAGAAGGGAAAGAATTAAGTGGTGGAAAGAGATTAAAAAGGGTGAGGGAAAGGACACGTGCAAAAGATGAAAATCAAAACGCACTAGTCAGCGTCCCATTGGAGCCTGGCCACCAAGGGTACTGGCACAGTGGGGACAGAGTCTTAGGTGGGGCTTGGTCGCTGTGAGGCTGAAAGCAGAGAAGTGTCACACATGATCAGTGCGCCATGATGTTTAAACAGGTTCAGTGGGTGGCACGAGTTGGCACCTACTCGTTTATTAGTAATGGGGAAAACCGAGCTTTAATATCAGAAGCATCTCTGTACGTGTATTTTTATAGACTGGTTTAGAATGTATGAAATGTATCAAAATTTCAAATATTTATGCAGAAGTGTGCTCTTCTGGAAAACATTTATTATAACCAAGATTGTGTCCTTTCACTCTACTCACAGATAAACAGTCTCCCAGCCTCAGTTGTCAGTCGTTCCCCATCTGCATTGTTCATCAGGGAAGTCTACAGGGGTACAAGGCCTAGGAGGGTCACGTCAAGCAAACGAAAACCTGAGAATTACTTCACTGTCCAGCTATAATATCTTTATGGCACCGAGTATCAGAGTGTTCATAAAAAGGTCATTAATTGTCTGTAATCAATCCTGGTATTTCATGCAAATAAACTAGCCCCTAAAGCAAAGTAAATACACGCTTGGTTCAGATAAGGGTTCTTTTTCTTTCAAAATTACATCTCAGACATGCAAAAGTTAGTCCTGAAGCATGGAGTAGGGAGTACAAAATAAATGCAAGCCCAGCATTTCTTTGCAGGTGTTAGGAGTGGAGCACGACTAAACACACAGAGAATCTGCCAGAGCTAAGGCCAAAGCCTTTGACTTAGCTAGCAGTTTGTTTCTGGGGGTTGATGGAGGCTGCTGAACTGTGTTCTAAGCTCTCAGGTCAAAGGTCCAATTCATGGCTTTGAAAGGACTCCTTCAAAGATCCTCTCAATAACAAAGCAAAAAGCCCATTGCTCACTCCCTACTCCATTACTCAGGAGGCTTGTATGTGCAAAAGGAACTTTAGAAAGGGGAGCACAGAGAACTCGGCAGTCTTAGGATGCCTGATGGCGCTCTATTTTTCCCATGGCAGTAAGAGGTATATATTGCACTGTTACCGAATCCAATTTTACCATACAAAACAGCCTGCCCTGGTGCCTAGCAGAGTGCCAGGGACTTCCCAGCTGGTCACGCGTGGTTGCAGGGGTAAGTCCTTGTCCTGAAGTACAGCAGGGCTGGGCTCAGACTACATGGTGGGAGATGCTAAGCCATGAGCTCCACAGTCCTGGCTGCGGCCCTATGGCCCTATTAACAGGGGGTAATGGTGGTAGCATTCCCTCTACGACCACACTGGGAGCTTTCTGCCACACAGACCTCCCCTGAGGGAGCATCTGGGGAGAAGGTTGGAATAACGTGAATTTCTGTGGGCCCAGCGTGAAGATGAGGAGCGGGAAGGCAGCAGATGGGGGAAAGCTGGGCTGGTTTTTGGAAGCAACTTTCATTGTCATCTACTTTATACAGAAAACTCAATTTGATTTACACTTTTGTGCCTGTGACTAAGCCTGGAAGCCCCAAAACGTTCACAATATTAAATTAACTGCTCTAATTTCCCTGGGCAGCTCAGATTTCAGCAAACAATGTGTGCTAAAATGATACCAGAGTCCATTTAGAAAGGACTCCTCTGAGAAGAACTAAATGCAGACTCCCTGAGAGGAGCTTTCTGACTACTGTATTTTTATACTCTGAGAATATAAACAAGTCAGAAGGGAAAGCCAGCGTGAGTGAGGACCTAAAATAATCTTCACCCACAGCAGACAGGGAGATGGTGCTTTTGTAAGAATTCCCATTCATAAGCATAACATTATCACGATTCATCTCTTTCAATCACAGTTTCAAATTTCACAATTGAGGCAGGACAGAAATATTTTTGCACTTCAAAAACTTAAAGAAGCAGATCTAAATCCTTTAAAAAGGGTTTAAAAAACTGATTACAATATTAAGAGCAATGTACCTATCTCCTAGCCACCACCACCATCCTACAACAAGAACAAAGGCAGAAAGAAAATCTCATGATTTCCCTGATGCATTTGAGTCCCCAGGAGGAAGAAATACCTCGAAGACAGAAATCTCCAGAAACAGGCTTTGGATATCTGGAAGAAAAGTAGAATTCTCAACTAGTCATCTAGATACAAGGTCTACATACCAAGGCACATCCATCCAGATGTTTCCTTTTCATCCAGATGTTCTGGGCGACCCCAGCATCTCCGCCCTTGGATGGTTAAACTTAGCCTAAGGGCACTGTTGCTCCGGGCCCCCAATCCAGCCGCAGTGTTTGCTCCAGGACTGCAGCTGCCGTCACTGCAGCCCTCACGTTAAATGGGAGAAGTAGCTAAGGTTCAGCGCTCTTTGGAATTAAACGGTTTGCTAATTTCCGAGCAAAACTATCTCCATAAAATGCGCACAGTAAGTAGG